CTGGGTGTGGGAGGAGTTCCAGGAGCATGAGTTCCGTGGGCCCGGGATCCCTGCTGCACAGTGGGAGCCATCACGTGGGAAGGAGGCGGGCATGGCTCCGTGGGGTGGGAGGGCCACAGGGGCAGATAGACCCGCCTCAAGGTGGCCTTTCAGCCCATGTGGCCGCTGCTCTGGCTGAGTCCCAGCCTCCTCTCCACGCTCACGGAGGCCCCCGTGGCCCCGGCCACACACGGTCACGTTGAGCATCAAGGCCCTGTCTGCACCTGGCGTGAGCACCCACCCCAGCCTGCCCCCAAAAAGAGGGGGGACGGCAGGAAGGACCCCCACCTCCGCTAACCTGTGACCCTGGGCTCGGGCCTCCCTCGCTGGACCCAGCTCAGCCACCACGTCCTTTGGGAGGCCTCCCGACCGCTCGTCTGCCCTCCTGCTCCTTGGCACCCCCCACATGTGTTTCCTGTCTGGGCCCGGCCAGGTTTGGGCGCCGCGGCAGCCACCTATCATCTGGTGGCCGCTGTAGCTCAGGGCTCCACGTGGTCCTTGCTGGCCGTCCGCGCTCTCTAAGTTCTTGCCCAATGAGTGACCCCTGGCATCTCTCGGCAGCGTGACTTCACCTCTCTAAGCCTCGCTTTTCTCATCTGTTAAATGGGGGTGGTACAGCGCGGCTCATGGTGGGGAGACACAGAGTCCTCTGCAGGCTGCTCACCTGTGAGGGGCCAGAGGGTGGGGCGACCAGGACTTGCGCCGCCTGCAGTGCCCTTGAGGGGAAGATGCGAGTAAGTAGAGGCGAAATCTCCTCACTTGGAAGGTGGTGCACGGGACTAGGCTGGTTTCCAGCTCCCCTCCCCCCGCCGTGTGGTGTCCCCTCCTCACTGGCCAGCAGGGTGGCCTGTTGCCTGGCTCAGCCTCCCCGCAGGCCTGGGAGCCCAGTGGCCGTGCCCAGGGCCTGGGCAGGTCTGGGTGGTTAGAAGGCACAGGGCACAGCCTGCCCTCAAGGAGGTCTGCCTGTCGGGCGCTGCCACCCGGGCCGAATTGCTATGCCCTCATCTTTGCAAAATGACCAGCCAGGGTCCCAGAAATCATCTGGTCCAGCCTAGCACTTCCCACTGCACCTCAGCCTCTGTGGGGTCCCCAGCGCCAGAGCCCAGTGGCCCAAACCCCCATTCCGCATGGTGACCCCGCTCTGCAGGCATTCCATGCTGTGCGAGGCCATCGCTCAGAGCCCCCCCCGCCCCATGGCGCCACGGAGGGAGAAGCCCTCCCTTCCCCTCCCTCCGAGCCCCATTCCCTTCTGCCTGAGCTGCCTGGGCGCCCGGCCGGCGGGAGGCAAAGCCTTCCTGGGCTTAGAAAACATCAAAGGAGCCACCAGCCAGTCCAGCCGGCAGTGGGATCAGCTCGGGGAGAGATGAGCTGCTCCTGGCCACCCCAGCGGTGCTGGCCGGGCCCCAGCCTGAGCCCCCAGGGCTGCGGCCAGTCCTCCTTGTCCCGGAGGCTGTGGCCCAGGGAACCTGCTGTGACATCAGGGGCCCCTGTGTCCCCCAGATGCACCTGCACATGCTCCGGGGAGTCCGGGAGCCTGACCATGGCCGTGACAACACCCCCACCTGCCCTTGACCGACCTGCCTCTGCCCAGAGCAGTTGGGGTATTTCAGACTTTGGAGGTCGCTGGGGTGGTGCCCGCGGAGGCTTGGCGGTGCCCCGCGCTTGGTAAGTGGCAGCGGAGTGGTGTGTGCCAGGCGCTGGCTGCCAAGCCCGGGAAGCGTGACGGGGAGCCAAGCCCAGGGGGCCGTTTTCAGGCACAAACAAGGCAGGGCGGACTCCGCTTGGCAGCTGGTTCTGAAGGGGAGGGAGGAGACGTTGGTTAGACCTACTGTGTGCCGCCTGCATCCCTGCAGGGCAACAAAGGGGTCGCTGATGGTGTATAGAGAGGGAAACTGAGGCTCAGAGGGTGGTGACTTCTCTGAGGTCACGCATCCTGGGAGAGGCAGAGCTGGGTTTGGGCAAGGCCCGCAGGTGCCCAGGCAGGACTGAAGCAGCAGCTGCGTCCCAGGAACGCGGGCAGAGCCTCCCCAGGGGCCGCCTTTGAAGGGCTGCATTCGCTCGCGCATCTGCTGTCTTTGTTCTTTAGAAACGAGAATCCGCCTCTGCCACAGGCTCCCCCACCTCTCCCCAGAATCAGAGGCTGGTGGCCGCCACAGCGACACCCCAACACAGTGCTGCCAGGACTTGGTTTCCACGGCGGCTTCATCAGAGTCGCGGACAAATCCCGACGCTGCCTCCTGAGGTGGCAGGGACCCCTCTCCCAGTCTCCTAGGGCTTGGACCCGCCCAGTGCCCACCCACTGGGCCTCAGCAACTCCGACCACCTGCCCTGACCTGCTCATCAGCCTTTCAGCTGAGCTCCTCCTCCGGGAAGCCCTCCTGGATCCCTCCCAACCCCAGTGGATGGCTCGTCCTCCTCTGCGCTCCCAGCAAATTCAGTCACAGTTGTTACCATGATGGGACGCTGTGTATCAGCCAGCACAGCTAACCATCACCAGACCCTGGTGAGCAGGGGCTGCTGCCTTCCCACTTTACAGGTGAGGAAAGTGAGGCACAAAGAAGGAAGGCACCTGCCGGGTGGGGAACCCGCCATGACCCAGGTGGCTCTCCCTGAACTGCTG